GTCAATGTTAATGCAATCCATGTTTTAAAATTAGTGTGTTTTAGAAATTATTCATTCATGTGTGTATATACACACATATGTACATGCCTGAGTGCCCGTGTTTTAGCAGCAGGCCTAGCTCACTTTTGATATATTTCTTAGTAAAACTACACTCACCTATTTAGTCTTTAATCTTCTGCAATCTGATTTTCGTCTTCTCTTTTACTATACTAAAACTGGCTTCTCAAAATTCACAGAACTTCTAAATGTAAAATCTCATGAACTTTCATTGGTTTTCCTCCCAACCACTCTCTAAGTTTCATCACTGGCCTTGACAATGTCATCACCCCAGGTTCCTGGGATCCTCCTGGCTCTCAATTTGTATAGTAGGAATTGTCTATACTTCTTACCTGGTGCTAATCAGGTGTTAGGTTTAGATTTATACATATAGCTTTAGATTACATACCTTATATATTTTCCCTATTTCCCCAATTAGAATGAGAGCTTCTTAAAAAGAAGGGATAAGGTTATACTTAAAAGTAAACAATATATGCCAGTATGAAGCAGACCTTCTGGCATAAGAAAAGTGATCTAAAATAACAAGAGTTTACGCTTAGAAGGACTTTATTGCAACATCTGTTACAGGAATATGCAAACTACAGTCTGAATATATGGCAGGGTCAAAGCTCAGAGGAAGGAGCTCCATTTATGTCCAGAGCACTGCTGCGAAGCTTTTGCTTCCCTAGTTCAGTACAGCTTCAGCGACAGAGTCATAGACAGAACAGCATGTGGACAAAAGGACACTGGCCCGCTCACTGCTGCAGTTACTCACAGACTGTTTGTTCTTTGACTAGAAAGGATATGTTGCTGCCAAAGCAGCATGGTCCATTCAGTTCTCAAAGTTAAATGAGTGGCCAATGTCAAGAGGAGGAGTGGCCCTCAGAGCCCAGTTTAACCCCCAAAACCATGGGTCCTCTATACACTGTATCAGTCGGTGAGTTTCTTTCTTTTTTTTTTTAATTGATTTTTATTGATTTTTTACAGAGCGGAAGGGGAAGGGATAGAGAGTTAGAAACATCGATGAGAGAGAAACATCGGTCAGCTGCTTCCTGCACACCCTCCACTGGGGATGTGCCCGAAACCAAGGTACATTGCTCTTGACCGGAATCGAACCTGGAACCTTTCAGTCCGCAGGCCGACGCTCTAGCCACTAAGCCAAACCAGTTAGGGCTCGGTGAGTTTCTTAAGGGCAGGGAGGTCTTTCTCATCACGGCCTCCCCAGTGCTGGGCGGTGTTTGACACAGTATAGGTGTTCCAACACCTGACTGCTTAAGAGGGGTAAGTAAGCTCACACATTGGGAAGACTGACTGAGCCAGAATTTGGTTTAATTCCATTCAAACTGAGATCAAATAATATTTTATTAGTTGTTTGACCTTGGAGATATTACTGAATTGTGATTTGCTTCTCTGCAAATGGGGATGATAACAAAATTTACCTCACAGGGTTATTGGGAGGACTAAGTTAAAACATATAAAGTACCTAGAACAAAGCCTAGTACAAAGTAAGAACTAAATAAATTTTGGTTATTATTATTTGTTATACAAATCAGCAACAAAAGCAATTAGATAAGATTATAAAATATTTGGGACATAAAAGGTTAAAGAATCAGCAGAAATACACTGTATGAGAATGAAATACAAACAGGAAAGATAAGGAGTTTTAAAGTGTTAAGATATGTAAATCTATGTGGTGTAGACTCCTGTTTAAGTAATTAAGTAGGACTTCACAACAAAAAGATTATATGCTTTAAAAGAGTTTTATTCTTTTCTTTTTTTTAAATTTTTTATTACAAAGGGTATTACATATGTGTCCATTTTTTCCCCCCGCCCTAGACAGTCCTAAAAGAGTTTTAAGTTTCATAGTTATAATAGCATCTCAGGTGAATAAAAAGCAAAAATATGGAGATACAAAACAAATTATGTTCCAATAAAAGTTTTTAAACCTATTAGAAATGAGCCTCTTTTAACTTCTGTAAGATTTAAAAACATCTGCAAGGTTAAACTAAACATGTAACTAATTTAAAAAATTACCCTTATATTATGGAAATTTACAAATATACACAATAGCGTATGGAAAATGTAATGAATCTTCTTTGTATCCATCACCAAGCTTCAACAATTATCAATATTTTATTATTCTGTGTAATATGTTTTAACAGCAATAACAAAAAATAGAATTTTCAGCCTTCTCTAAAAGATTAAAATGGCCAAGAAAAATGCCCAGTGAATTTAAGTATAAGAAAACATAGCTAAGTGAAAGTAGCCTGTTTTACCTTTTCTTCATTTTAATAAAAATAAATAAAAATGGAATAAAGCTTTGAGAAGAACAACACTTACTGGATGGTGAGGTCGCAAATGAAAAGTATGAGGTGATACTACGGCTACAGCAAAGAAACGAAGAAATACAAAGCTGCTCACTGCAGAATACTGAACATGAGGGTCATCTGCAGGAAAAAAATGGTGAAATGTCATGCACAAAAACACTGAATTAAAAAACAAAGATGACAAAGTAAAAAATATTGAGAAAAGATGTAAACTAAATAGAAGATCAATATAATTTGCCTAGTCAGGACTGAATTGATGAGATGATAGTGATGATTATGACTAAATTAAAAGAAAAAATCCTATGACTAAAAAAATATCTGAAATCACTAATAAAATGAAAGGTAAAGCTGCTAGATTTTCAGAAATATTTTAATTTGGAAACATACTTCTTTCCTCAATCTGCAAGAAGAGACTCCTGAAATTACAACAAAAATAAAAGTACTATATAGCACAACCTAGTGACAATACTGAATCCCTGAAGACTTGGATAGGAGATTTTCAGTTTTAGGATATTGTTTTAATTTTCCCCTCAGAAATCTTGATTATATCAAAGACTATGCCATTAAAACAATTAGGTTAAAATCTTTACTTTTAAAAAACTATCCATATTCCATCAAAACCACAAATGAAATGGAGACAACTGGGCTTTGATCATTAACCTATAGCTTTCATTTCAGACTGGAGCCTATACTTAACCCAACAATCAGATGGGAAAGAAGCAGGTGGGGAGAGCACGAATGTCTGGATTTGTCTAATTCTTGTAAGTCACTCAAAAGGCAGTCACGGAGAAATCATTTATTTGTAATTCTTCAATACTATCTGCTCCCCACTCATTGCCTCCCCGCTTCCCAACCCATCTTCTTCCCAGAGTGATAAGGACAAATGAGAAACTATAAAAATTCTTGGTAATAAAAGTATCACTACTGTAATCAACTGAGGATATGAAGACATTAATATTTAAGTCAACAAGTCAGTCAAGGAGATACTTTTGCACTTACAAAAAATAAAAAATGTGTTTTAGATTATTTACATAAACAAGAATTAAACAGATAAAGCATATTTTAGGCCAAGATAACTGGGTAGAGTTCTGTGCCTAGTGCACAGTTTGGAACAGACCAGACCCAGGTTGGAGAACCTGCTTGCCCACTGGCCATGTCATGAATCTTGTGTAAGTTACTTAAACTTCTCTAAGCTTGTTTCATTATCTACCTAAGGGGAGCAATACCTGCCTCATGTGGTACTGTATAGATGAGAGTAGGAGATAATACAGGCTAGCATGTGTCTATTCAGTCACTAAGCATTCAATGTAGTTACCATGATCTAACTCACCAAAATATAATTTCAGTCAGCATTTCATCTTTCCATATGTTAGTGTCTCTGCTCCCCTTATTTTTGTTTCAAAGAGCAGATTTAGTATACTTATGTGAGGTTAAGTGTTTACGTCTTCACTATAATTAGTAAAGTCATCTAGATCTTAATTTATCTACATGCTAGTCGGACAATTCAGCCCCACCACCTTAGCACAGTAGTGATACTTTTATTACCAAGAATTTTTATAGTTTCTCATTTGTCCTTATCACTCTGGGAAGAAGATGGGTTGGGAAGCGGGGAGGCAATGAGTGGGGAGCAGATAGTATTGAAGAATTACAAATAAATGATTTCTCCGTGACTGCCTTTTGAGTGACTTACAAGAATTAGACAAATCCAGGTGGGTAAATTTAGTGGAGGGTAAGATAACTGCACACACGTGTACACATTCATACTTAAAAGACCATGATATGCCTTAGCCGGTGTGGCTCAGTTGGTTGGCGTGTCGTCCCGTACACTGAAAGATTTCAGATTCAATCTTCAGTCAGGGCACACACAGGAGGCAACTGATCAATGTCTCCCTCTCAAATTGATGTCTCTGTCTGTCTCCCTCTCCATCTCTCTCTCCCTTCCTCTCTTTCTAAAATCAATAAAAATAACAAAATCTCTTCAGATGGTTATAGAAATAAACTTAAGGTTTCACACAGCTGGGTAAGATTGATAATTTAAGTAGCTGCCTTATCTTCCCCCTCTTCCCTTTGCCCTACTACAGGTAGATCTGGAAAGACAGCTATAGCAAGTTTACTTACTTATCAGAGATGCATATAATTAGAATACTTCCAAGTATTGACAATCAGAGATAGCAACTCAATTTTATAAAATGTTTCTACTAAGTAAAGCCTTGATAATGCTACTGTGCAAAATTAAAACACGCCAGTTACTGACATATGTACCTCAAAATTCTATGTATATTACAACAGAGATGTTTTTAATGTCTAAAACCATTTCTGTAAAAATTCATCACCCCCAAAACCTATAATTCTCAAGCTGTCAGATCTAGTCATTTTTATGGAACTAAAAATTCTCACTACCTGAATGTATGCAAGTTTAAAAGGGAGCTAGTACAAATAACAAAGGTGTTTTTGTTTATTATATTTAACAATCTCATAAGCACCTGGTATAAAGGTTTATTTATATAATGTTATAGTTCTAAATTTTGCCTTTCTTAAAAAAATGCTGATTTTGATTTGTATAAAGTTGCCATTATATTAAAAAAAAACCATAATATATGTTTTGAGATTGTAAGAAAATTAAATCAGATGTTTCATTAAAAAGCAAGAACTGTTTTGGAAAACTAAATAAGACTGTACCTATAAACCATTTCACATAAACCAAATACACAGTAAATCTACAAAAAATCAAATACTGGAAAAGAAAGGGCATGATGTAGTAACACAGACACTTACTAGGAAATCTTTGCGCAGCCATCTGCCGTAGAGAATAGAAGACATCACACATCACAGTGGGGCAGCTCATGCTTGACTTTATAATTGTACTGAATAACTTGTCTACATAGTAGCGCAGATTTTCCTATAGGTTTTAAAAAGGTAAACATGAAGATTTTGACTTTTACATATCTTCAACGGCCTTCATGGAAAAAATGCAATGAAAACAAGCTCAATTAGGCAGTCACTATCTAGTATTCTAGAACTCTGCTTCCCTTCTCTAAACTCATTCAGTGAAAGGACAATTTACATCTTGACCTCGTTTACTGATAATATATCAGATGTGGACATAGGTAGACATAAGTAAATGTATGGACTAAACCACACAAGAAGCAACAGAGAGTATAATGATCCCGGGGAAATTAGGAAAACAACTCAGATATCCAGGCACACAGACATTGTGGCACTGTTATCGACTGCAATGAAAACTTGTGACTCTTCCGAGAGGCAACTTTAAGTGTTGGCTGACCAAGTCACTGTGCTACTTAGTTTGATCAGTTTGAACCTAAAGCACCGACCAGAATGAGGCTGAAACTAGATGTAGCCTTATTCCACTGCTATTACTAGAGCCAAAAAGAGACAATCAAGAACAAATATAAAGTGAAACTTGATGAGGAGATGACAACATTCTAAAAACTAGACACAGGAAATGCTGCTAATGGCATAGGCATTATGTAAAGAATAAAAAGCACTATTTCCCTCCATATAACATTACTAGAACATAAATGGGAGATAGGTATACTTTTAAGGCCAATTTTAACGGACTTATAAAAAATAACAAGGACTTACCTTATTATTTTCTACATTATCTCCCTCTTTCAATCTAATAGGATCAATTTCACAAGATTTTGATGATTCACATATCTGAAAAATAGAATAATGTTTCATTTAATGCTTTTTAAAATATTTGGCAAAATGAAAATACTTTTCTGATAATACAATTGTAAAAATTAAAACAATAAACAAAGTTTAAAACTCCCATCCAGAGATAATATATACAATATTCCTGAAGAACTATATAGAAAAAATTTTCATATATTTGAAACTCTAGCTAAACAGAAATCCAATAACAAAAAACTGTGTAGATTATACTACAATGTGTCCTTTGAGTAAAATTCCACTGATGAAACAGTAAATAACTTATTTTACTTCTAAAGTGCTCAGCCTTATTCTTTCAGTAATACATGAATGGATATATCATTCTCATCAACAGATCACTAAATTAAACAGGTGCTATAAGGCCACGCAAGCTATGTTATCTGAGTATGTATATTCATTCCGTACCTCATCTAGAATAGGTTTTAATGTTACTTTCAGGTAGTGCCCTCCCACTATTTTCATCATCTCATCTAGACATCGGGTAGCCAAGGAATTTCCTCTAAAAATTGTATTTGCATCTCTGAAATACAAGTAGAAATAAGGTGAAAACAAGTGTATTAAACAATGGCTGTCAAATCAATAATATGAGATATCTGACTTGGTCATATATACAATCTTAGTAATTTTTACCATCCATTGAAAAGCTTGCTGCCATTAGGATTTTCAAACTTATAAAAACTATTTAATGAAAATATAAGAAAACAATTTTTTTAAAAAAGCATCGGATGGAGGAACTCGGTTGGTTGAATGTTCTGTGCACTGAAAGGTTGCTGGTTTGATCCCCAGTTGGGGTGGGGTACAGAGGGTAACAGATCAATGTTTCTCTCTCACATTGATAATTCTCTCTCTCTTTCCTCTCTCTCCCTCCCTCCCTTCTCTCCCTCTCTCTCTCCCCCCGTCTCTTTTTCTAAGGATATCCTCAGATAAGAATAAAAAAAAAAAAGCAAACCATATTTGTTTACAACAGTGTAAAACTGTGACAGGCACAGGAGGCCACCAGATTATTGTTTTTATAATGCCACACCTGTGCACATAAGGGTGATACAAATGGACAAGGAAAAAGAAACTTCTAACCTGGTATTTTATTTGCAGCATGTGAATCATTATAATAAGAAGCAAAAACTAGAAACGGGAAATTTTGACACTGAGTTAAAAAAAACACCAAAAAACACCTATTGTTAATTGTTAATTTTACTGTTGGTGGATACTGTTTGTTAATCTAAAGAATTCCCTTTTATTTTTATTTTTTTAATATATTTTATTGATTTTCCACAGAGAGGAAGGGACAGGAAAAGAGAGATAGAAACATCGATGAGAGAGAAACATAGATCAGCTGCCTCCTGCACGCCCGATACTGGGGATGTTCCCGCAACCAAGGTACATGCCCTTGACCGGAATCGAACCTGGGACCCATCAGTCCGCAGGCCAACGCTCTATCCATTGAGCCAAACCGGTGCTGGCAAGAATCCCCTTTTATTAATGCTAAGCAGTTCTTTTTAGACTATGATACAGTAAAGCTGGTCAATACAAAAGAAGAAAGATTACAGAAACAGACAAACTAAAGTTTACATTCAATAGCAAATAATTAACATTTAATATAACTCTTACTGTGTATCCTTCAAGTCTAATTCAGCCACTGCAGTGGCAAAAGGAACAAGTTTATCATGGTGCAGCAACAGTCGTACAAGGGGCAAAACAGCATCATTTTTATCTCGACATATTTCACCCAAAATGTAAGCAGCTGAGGCAGATATTGGCTGGAATATAGAAAGGTAGAAAACAGCACAAAATCAAGGAAAGGTAACTAAATATTCAATCACTAGCCTGTAAAAGTAATTCAAATATGTTCATTTATATATATAAAAGCCTAAGTGACCGTTATAGCCGGAATGACCGGGTGCTATGATGCACACTGATCACCAGGGGGCAGACGCTCAACACAGGAGCTGCTCCTGGTCAGTGCGCTCCCATGGTGGGAGCGCCACTCAGCCAGAAGCCGGGCTCACGGCTGGCAAGTGCAGAGGCGGGGGCGGGAGCCTCTCCCGCCTCCGCAGCAGCTTCTCCCGCCTCCGCGGTAGTGCTAAGGAGCAGCAAACAAAGTGGTGGTAAGGAGTGAGCAGGCAGGCGGTAAGGAGCAAGAAGGCAGGCGGTTAGGAGTGAGGAGTCCTGGATTGCAAGAGGAATGTCTGACTGATGGATGTCCAACTGCAGCAATCAGGCCTAAACTGGCAGTCGGACATTCCTCGAGGGGTCCTGGATTGCCAGAGGGTGCAGGCCAGGCTGAAGGGTTCCTACCCGCCCCCACCCCCCCATGCAGGAATTTCGTGCACTGGACCACGAGTTAAATTTAGAACACATATTGGAATCATGATACTGTCATTCAGATGAACTAAATGTACATATATGTGGACAGGGATGGGCAAAAGTAGGTTGAGGGTAATTAATAAAGTGGGTTTACAATAATTAATAAAAGAATAAACTCTGTGTTTCTTGTACTCACACCTGTTAAATCACTTTTCCATATATATATATAT